GCAAGAGAAGAGATAAAAGAGTTTTAGCTATAGTTTTGTAAGTTGGAGTTTGTTTGTAATATATTATATGTCAGAATGATTGTATGGAGAAGCTGAATAAGTTTTTATTAAGGAGTGTAAGTAGTTGACTTAATATAATTTTAAGAAAACTTTGAATTTGTAAGTTTTTGTATTTTTAGAAGGTTTTTGTAAATAATGTAGTGAGTTTGCAAGTTGATATTTTAAAATTTCTGTAATATATATAAAATAAATAGCAGAACAACTTTATTTAGAGCACCAAAATAGATTTGCTTAGTATTTCAAGAAGTTATAGTCATTTTTGTTTTGAAGTTTTTAGAGTTAGTTTTGTATAAATAATTTACAGAAAAAATACATTTTAGTTAATTTTCTGTTTAAAAATTCTAAAAGTTTAGTATATTAAAATTTAAAAAATTTGACTTAATTTAATGAAATAGTTATTAAAAAATTAATTTTAAAATTTAAAATTTTTTTGTTATATATAGTTAAAAAAAATCTGTTACAAAAAGATTTTTATTAATTTTACTATTTAATTTTAATAAAATTATATAGTAAAATTAATAAAAACCTCTTTGTAACAGATTTTTTTGACTATATATGACAAAAAAAATTTTAAACTTTAAAAATTAATTTTTTAATAACTATCTTATCAAATTGAGTCAAATTTTTTGTTATTAGTATAAAAATTATTAAATTTTAATATACTAAACTTTTAGAATTTTTAAACATAATTCTGATTTCTTATTAATTTTTAATTAAACTCAATTAATTTTTTAATTTTTTGTAAAAAAAATTGTTTAAAACTTTAGCTTTCATCTAAAATTTTTTTAGTAATTGAAAAATTATCAAAAAAACATAATCTAGACTAACTATTTACTAAATTTTTGAAAAATTTCAAGGCTGTAGCATTTCTCTGTAAGCAGATAAAGATACAGAGTTTTTTTTGTCTAGCACTATATCTGATAATTTTTTCAAATCTCTAGTTTATAATAGAATATTTAAATTTTGTTACTAGTAGAATTTGAACTTTGAATATATTGTTTAGAAGTGCAACAACTTTGCCACTTTACTAAGTTACCACATCTTTAATTTTAAATATTAACTAAGAACAAGACTATATAGTGCATCTTGCACTTTGTGTATCTTCCTATAAAATTTTTATAAAATCACTAATTTCTTGAAATTTTAACTAGATAACCCTGTTGTATAACATAAGCAAAAATATTTTCCCACAATTTTACCTTACTCTAACTCTAAACCTAACTTTAATTCTAACTTTAACCTAACTTAATATCTATTGTTAGTTTAATTTTACTATAGGGTGCACAAAGTGCATAGTATACTGTTTAGATTTTTTCTTAATTAATTACTTAAAATTTAAAATACTTATTTTTATAATAATTTATTTAAATCTAATTATATATCAATATTATATTATTATATATCTAATTATATATAAATAATCTCAAGATTTTTTATTGTTAAAACAAAAAATCATATATATTAATTTGATTTTTTGTTAATTACCTGCTTATTAAATCTTGAATCAAATGCTTATTAGATAATCTTTAGTAATAATAAAAACTTTATAATTTTTACAATCTTATAGTTAATATATTTTGTCTACAAAACTTGAATATAAAAAAATCTATTATTTTTGCATATTTATTCATAAATCTAACTTTACATAATTATTAACTATCGCCCTTAAATATACACCCGATCTATATATAAGCAATATTTAATATATTGCTTTAATTTATTTTATATTAATTAATTAAAATTTATAACATCGCATTCAAATTATACATAGTCTTTAATTAGGAATTATACAAAAATAATGGCATTGTATCTAAACAATAATACAGTTTTTAATCAAAGACTATTCAAAAAATTATAATTCTGTATTTAAAGTATAGCTTTGCATCTAAACAGTAGTTTCGCATCTAAACAATAGCCTTGCATCCAAACAATGGCTTCACATATTAACAATAATAATTTTGTAATCAAAAATTATAATAAAATAATCTTTACATCAAAAACAATAACATAGCCTTTAAGGCTTTATCTTTTACCGGAGGCTTCGTCTTTTGTCATTTTGCAAAAAGGTTTTGTCTAACAACATTAGCCAAGACATAGACAAGGTGCCCATAGTACAGGCATTGAAATTTGACAAACTGGGTGAGGACATATTCGTGACAATACAATTACACAGAACAAAAATTCACAAAGTAACTGAACGTTCCACCCTAATAATTAACTCAACAAAGGATGGATTATGCCCAATTGAAGCACTTAAAACATACGCAATCATCAGAACCAAGCCAACATATGCTCTGGGAGAGAAAACGTTATTCATCAGAAGCAACGGAAGGTTAGCGACGAAGAGGTGGTTCATAGACACTCTCAAGTTATTTTTACCAATATAACGATCGGATTACATATATACCTTGGATTCCCGATCGTATATATATATATATATATATAAAAGGAAGAGAAAAAGGTGGAAGAGCATATAACATAACGAACAAAAATGAAATAAAGGAATAAACGCAGATACAATGAATAACACGGCACAAGATTGACATTACAAAAAAAAAAAAAAAAAGAAAAAGAAAAAAAGGGGGGACACAGACTAGAGATGTTATCCTGCCACAACCGGTTAAGTTTGTGCTTAAAAACCCGTTGGAACACTGTTTCGGAGCATTTACATAAACCAGTTCTCGAACTCAGTTTACGCATATGTATTAATAATTATGCTTGCATAAACAATCCAATAAAACCTGTTATCGCTATTACTATTTATTAAAGCAAATATATAAAATTTAAAAATACAGTTTATAATTTTTACATTATAATATTTATCGTATCTATCGCTATTATTTAGTTATTTAGATTATACCCAATTATTATCCTTCATTACATTTCATAATACCCACATAATACTAGGTCTTAAAGCAGAGACTTGCGAAAGCATTTTCTTCAGACAACCTATTACGTATTGGGTTGATTGTATTTTTTCTGCTTCTGAAAACATTTCTTTGCTCTTGCAAAAGGTTCAAGAATCCGTTGTGAACGCAGATTTTTGCTGACTTAAAAAAATTACGAAGTTCATTTATTTATAATAGTTTTGCGAAATAAATTGTCTCAACGAAAAACATTTTGAGAAATCGAACTTGAAGAGTTAGGTTCAGTTGAATGAATACACTGTTCAAATGTATTTTCTTCGTCTATCGAATAGTAAAATTTAGATACAAAAAAAAAAAAGATACGCAAAAAAAAAGAAGTCGCGTCATATCACGTTACAATAAATTAACTTTTAATTAAAAGTCTAAAGTTAATTAAAATCGAACATTTTGCTTATCTAATCGACTTGGAGCATGAGGAGTTTAAATATAATAATGAAAATTATGTGGCCGCGAAAACTCGAGTTCCATTGGGTCGGGCAAACAGGATAACATCCCTAGCACAGACCCACAATCACAGCGTAACAGCCCTATGAGAAAAGCGGCCCGGGTGTTGGTACGGGTTGTCTGGATAGGCACGTGTCATGTGGCACGTAAAGGAATGAAACACGAACCAAAACGTGACAGAATGGCACGTATATTACGTTTTACGGTATTGGCACGTGCATTGGGTGGCACGTATGAGCACGTTTTATTTCGTTACTTTACGTGCAATTACCCGTGCCAAAACCCATAAGTTTTGGTTTAGTAAAGTGCAGCAAAACCCGGTCCATTTACGGTCCAAAATGTCCGGGTAAACAGTCCAATTCGGATCAATTCAACGTGCCAACACGGATTACAGACGTACAAACCAGGACATCCGGCCGTTCCACACTTGACCGAGTCTCTCCGTAGAACCATGTGCCTACACGGACCACTTTTTTTTATAGGGTTGGCACCAGGGGAATCCTGCCATTTTGCCGTTCCTTTAAACTTCATGTCCAGTCAGCCTGCTTTATGCAGTGTTGGAGACCACCGGCTGATATTACACGTTATGAATTACGCTAATGACGGTTATACCTCTCAGCTTATGCATTAATCGCACCGATGTACAGTATCCATCAAAAGTAACGCCCGATTTGCTGATCACTACATGTGACCAAATAAAATGGCTGGTGATGACCCCTTATAACGTTTCCCCCAAGGAAATTTTTTTTTACCTTGTTTCTCGACTTCTGAATAAGCACT